ATCTCCAATTCCGTAAGTTACACATCTTGAAGGTTAAGGACTATTGTCACTTCTCTTTATATTTCAGCAATATTTAAACACAAAACCCTGTATATGTATAAAAGGTAGCATCAGTAGGTAAATAAATGGAACAGCGAAAATAAACCATCACACTGGCCTTGTGATTGAGACTAAAAATGGAAGTGTCTGAAGCATCACTAACATGCGATTATTTTTTAGTCTAAATATTTAAGGACTTTACAACTCTGTGAAAAATGAAATGTCAGAGAATTAAAGAACAATGTCAAATATCTCTTTTAAACTCCTCACTAAGCCTCCCCAGTCATGCTGCAAAAGATTCTAAATGTTTACGACTTTCTAAATGATTGGACATGAATTAATCTTTTGATACAAGACTATTTCTACAAGTTGCTTTGGTAGCACAGTGACAGATAAAAACCGAAAAGCTTAACAGAAGTTTCATTTCATCCATGAATGAGTTAATAAAGGAGGATCACAGATATCTAATTGCACAACTTGCAGTCATTTCTTTTTTGGGGGGTGGAGCAGAGGGGGGAAAAAAGAGAAGATGGGAAACCTGCAGAGAAAAATGTAACAAACTGACATACTTCGGTGTAGACTAAGCATGGGTGTAAACTCCATCTCTCTCGACAGAAAGGATCCGAGCTATTACCATGCCAGGAATTTCCTGCAGCTATCTCATGTGCAACACAGCCTCCTTCTCCACAATGTTTTCCTCCGAAATCCTCCTGGTTGCCTAAGCAAGGCTTGCTAAGGAACGGGAACTTCCAGGAGGCCTCCCACCATTGGGAGGATGAGGCTGAGTGCTGTCAGCAGGCACAGCAGATGAACCTGAGGGATCAGCACCGACCGAACAACACTGTCACAGTGACAGCCCATGTCTAAGACGTGACCCCATTCAAATCAAATGGTACTGGCAATTTGAAAAAAAAAATAACAGCAAGAGGTGGAGGGAAAAAAAAAAAAAAAAAAAAATCTATGCACAGTTCAAATTTTCCAGTTACGGTGGACCAGGAGTGGGGTCTAGCAGGATTTAGGGTTTATCACCACTAACACAGGAGAGGAGCTGGACATGGGGCAGTACAGAGGCCTGCACAAAAAGCCTGGCCAGAAGCACACAGTGAAGAACCTGCTGCAGATTTGTAATAGATATACAAGAAGATGTGTTTCTCAGAAATTATTCAAACCTGGGAAAGTTTAAAAAACATCACAAAAGGCAGACACGTTTTCTAACCATCTGAAATAAAAAAATGCCCCAATCAAGTACACGTGCTATGCAAGCCTACAAGCAACTAAACTCAGATCATCTTCCTCTGCAAGTTCTTAAGAACTGTTTTCATCTGTATTTAAAAAAATAAGTTTCCTTTTCAATTAGATAGGAATGTTTCTATAGCTTTCATCAGAGCAATCTGCAGGCAACAGTACAGCCTTCAGCCAGTGCTTCATCAAGGTGCCTCCCCACCTCCCAGTTTATTTAATTTAGCCATTCTAGTGGCTGAAGAGACAATTTTGTCATACTAATTACATTACAACATCCACTGAGGCATTCCAGAGAAGTGGGAACACTTGACTTTCACTCTGACTAAAACAACTCTTCACTGCAGTAACCAACAGTGATGCTTCTCAGACGGTAAGATCTGTGAAGAAAATATATAAAGAGGTAATATAGAACTCAAGTTGACAAAATTACACTTCTGTAACACTGACACTTCCCCCCTCCCCCAAGTGATGGAGGGATGGTGTCTACCGTGCTGCGAAAGAGAAAATGTAAAAAGTAAAAAAAGAATAAACCTCTTTCAAGATAATGCTTCAGCTCCAACACAGGCTTGCATCGGTAACTGACGCTGATGATTAGCAGATTGTTCTGATACATGCATTATCTATTTTTGTCCCCCAGAAATTTTACTTCTGGTCTTTAAATTCAGATGTGACAAAGATCTGCAAGTGGCATACACCCACAAGTATACCACTAAAGTTAAAGGATTAATGTACCTTTCACTATACTTTGTGGTTTTACTCCGGAACACTTTTTCTTCCATTTATGATTCTATCTCCATCTCCAGAAAGTGGTAATAATTCCAACCACCTTTCAACAAAGAAAAAAATAGCTCAACTCTCAATGATGAAGGAAAACAAGCTTCATCTGTACAATCAGAAAGAGTGAACACCGGCTGTGTTTAATCCAAAGGAAATTTTGGTAAAGACTTCAAGTACAATTAGATTAACGCCAGGAGAGCCTTCAAGATTTATAAAATAAAACAGAAGTTGATTAGACACAGTTGAGCTTAAGGAAAACTGAATCTAAATGCTCATTAGCCCAATACAGTATTGTCTTGTCTCAATTTCTGCTTTTCGTATGTTTTCATGTGCTTTACTCTTTCAGTACTGTCAAGGGTGACAGTGGGGAGGTGGTCAGATAACGAAACAGAATTACCTGGATTAATATTTATTTCCTAATATATACTTTTCTGAAGAATACAAATATTAAAAATCAATTGCAAACAAATACAGGTAATGGAATGGAATCTTACCAAAGGTTTCCTTTAAACAGGAAAAATAAGGAACAAGTGAAAACCGCTTTGCTGGAAATTCTACTGTAGGATCTGAACCCACTTTAGTCCAGTACTGTTATTAATTTCTGGCAGCAGCTTTCTCTTTTTGGCCCCAAAGTAGCTGTGTCCTAAAGATATGAATGCCTTTTTTTTTTTTGCCCCCCCCAATTGATTCA